TGTGTACAGGCTCGACCCTGGCCGACGTGTAAACGTAGCCAGGTGGCGACCTGTATCCGCCTCCGTGCAGTGGGTCACCCGCTGACGAGCAGGGGTGAACTGGTGGACACCCGCATCCTGGAGGTCAGCACCACTCACCAAGTTCGTCGAGAACGAGGGGAGGTAGAGACCAGTCAGGGTGCCAGAGGGAGCCGCCGGACACGGGAGGACAGTGGAGAAGCGAGCCAGGACAGGCCCCCCAGAGGGGTCAGCCAGGGACACTGCAACCGGCCGACTCAGCGGCGTGAGAGTGGTGCGGTCCCTAAAGAAGGAGCGAGACGCTCCAGAGTCAAGGGTGAAGGTGTGAGAGGCCGAAGCCGACACAGTACCTGAGAGGGCAGACTCACCAGCACCTGAGAGCACAGACGCACTGGCACCTAGAGCAGCAGCCTCACTAGTACCTGACGCGGCAGTACCAATGCCCGGGTCGGGCGGGAAACACCGGTAACAGTCATCCTCATCACTACCAGTCACAGCATACATAGCAGCGAGAATAGCATCAAAATCAAGATCATAAATAGCTACACCAGCCCTAGACAGCTCTCCCCAGCGGGGGATCTCAGCGGCCTCCGGAAACTGCTGACGCCAGGCGTCGGTCAGGCGGCCAAAGCAGCGGCGGGCTGTGTGGGCGCCTCCACACCTCTCCCCTGCACGGTCACCGGTGCGAAGAACGTAGGGGCAGGGACCAAGCGCACCACCACGCTGACGCTGCAAGTACCACTCACGGAGCTGCTGAGGGGCGGGGACGGTGCGAGAGCGCTGCTGCTGCTGTGGCTGCTGCTGCGGCTGCTGCTGCTGCTGCTGCTGGCGCTGACCACCCCCAGAGCTGCTCCTCTGGGACGAGCCACTCCGACCCCCGCCTCCACCGCCACCCCCGCCTCCACCGCCACCCCCGTCTCCACCGCCACCTCCCCCACCAGGACCGTCGCTCCCACCGCTCCCACCGCCTCCTCCGCTACCACCTCCGCCGCCACCTCCGCCTCCACCGCCGCCACCAGTACCTCCACTCCCGCCACCACCCCCACCGCCACCCCCACTCCCCCCGCCACCCCCACCGCCTCCTCCACCGCCCCCTCTAGCTCCACCCGCTCCCTTGCCCCCCTTGCCCTTGCCAGAGCGGCGTCTGCCGCTGGGGGCAGACGCCGCGCCGACCGACTCAAAACCGGTGAGGTCGGCCGCAGCGGCAGAGGCGACAGAGGGCAGCAGGGGGGAAGGACCACACCCCTCAAAGATGGGGGTGCGAGGGTCACCCCGAGAGGCCCCTACAGCGACAATACTCTTCTCAGCCGCTAGCAGGGACTCCTCAAGGAGGTCGACAGTGAGAGTGGTGGGACAGACAGAGAGAAACTGGTCCCTAACGACACGAAGGGACTCAGGGAGACGGGTGACGAGAAAGTAGAGAGTGATGTACATGGGAGGAGGGTTCGCAGCGCGGAACTCAGCAGGAAGGGCAGCGCGGTAGCGGGTGTCACTAGCACGGAGGTGGGTAACGAGGTCAGCGACAGTGGGAAAGGAAGCGAGGTCAGGGAAGAGAAACGGTAGCATGAGGCGGCTAAGGGTAGCGGAGGAAGGGGAGGAGTAGCGTGCAACTACAGCGTCGTACAAGGCCTGAGCGGTCTTGCACTGACTAAAGTGGGCACGCTCAGAGGAAGGGAGGTGGCGACGCACAGCAAGACGTGCAGCAGCATCGCGGGTCGCCCACTTGGAGCGAACGGCAGAGTCAGCATCAGCAGGTGGGGCAGGGACAGCGCCAGAGACAAAGTCAAAGAGAGAGACCTCATCTATCGCATCACACAGTAAGTACAGCTGCAGGTCTTCAATCGAGACGGCAAAGTCAATGGCCCTCCCCTCAGCGTCAAAAGTAAGAACATTGGGGGTGGCCATGGCTGCAGCTGAAAGTCTCACCGGGCTGGGAGAGTCGGGTAGGTCAGCAGCAGAGGAACACAGCTCAGGAACAGCAGCACAGCTCCTCAGGCGGCTCGGGCGGCTCGGGCGGCTCGGGCGGCTCGGGCGGCTCGGGCGGCTCGGGCGGTTCGGGCGGCTCGGGCGGCTCGGGCGGCTCGGGCGGCTTGCGCGGCTCGGGCTGTTGGGGCTGCTCACGTGCAGCACGGCGGGCTGCAGCAGGGGCCGCGGGGAGGGCTGTAGTGGGGCCGACGGCGGGCCGACGGCGGGCTGTAGCGGGGCCAGGGCGGGCTGTAGCAGGGCCGGCGGCGGGCTGTAGCAGGGGCCGGTGGCGGGCTGCAGCGGGGCCGGCGGCGGGCCGACTGCGGGCTGTAGCGGGGCCGGGGCGGGCTGTAGCAGGGCCGGCGGCGGGCTGTAGCAGGGGCCGGTGGCGGGCTATAGCGGGGCCGGCGGCGGGCTGTAGCAGGGCCGGCGGCGGGCTGTAGGTGGGCCGGCGGCGGGCTGTAGCTGGGCCGGCGGCGGGCTGCAGCAGGGGCCGGTGCGGGCGGTAGCGGGGCCAACGGCGGGCCGTAGTGGGGCCTAGGCGGACCGGTGGGGCCTAAGCGGGGCCAACGCGGGGCCGACGGGGCCTAAGCAGGGCCAACGCGGGGCCGACGGGGTATAGGCGGGGCCGACGCGGGGCCAAAGCGGGGCCGAAGTGGGGTTGACGGGCCTAAGCGGGGCTACGCGGGGCCGACGCGGGGCCGACGGGCCTGAGCGGGGCTACGCGGGGCCGACGAGGGGCCTAAGCGGGGCCGACGTGGGGCCTAAGCGGGGCCGACGTGGGGCCGACGTGAGGCCTAAGCGGGAGCACGACGAGGAGGGCGACACGGAGGGTCGCTAAAAAAAATGCGCGCCTCGGGGCGCGCTTCGGTGGGCCCTAGGAACAGGCCCTAAGAAGGGACCTGCTCTGATTCCATGAGAAAATGTGAACGAGAATGGGTGAACTATGAACGAAGTGAGTACAAATAGGAAACCCTAGTTGGGTTGTACCCCCTATGGGATACCCCACTATAGCCTACACAAATAAGTAAGCTATAATATTCTGACAGGTTGCACCTGACTAGCCGCGTCGACCACATGCTACTACGTCGGTTGACTTCGTGACAGCAACATCGACGATGTTCGCGAGCCTCTGCTGAACCTCGTCGAACAGGTAACGCCATCGACCGGGTAAGGTCCCCAGCAACCGTGCAGGTCGATGACCTTCGTCATCATAGGTTGACGACCTTCGTCGTCGCGGGTCGACGACCTCCGTCGTTGATCACCATCGATGCCCACCCTTGTCATCGAACTACTTCGTCGACCACCCTCGTCGACGGTCTTACAGTAGTTCCGCACATGTCAACGACCACCTTCGTCCACCTGCACGCCCAGGCTGGCGTCGACCTCTACGGACGGTCGGCTGCACCTTTCGTGCACACGACCACAAAGTCGACGTCACCCTCTGCAAATGGTCGACAGAACCTCTCGCACAATCGAACACGAAGTCGGCTTCGCCCAAGCGAGGGCGGGGCCAATTTCCTTCAAGAAAGTGAACAAGCGATCCGACAATCAATTGCTGAGATAGTCGACTACAGGTCGACTAATGTTCATTTGCTAGAATTCGAACAAAATACATGAACTTCACCATCTGTGCCGAAGGAGACGCGCCCTAAGTTCTTATGGACCTTGTGGTTCGGATTGGCCACTCAGGAATCAGTGTTCGGGTTACTGAGAACTCGAGCACTGGCTGGTCACGATTCAGCTGCGAAAACTTAAAAACGTTACTTGACCGTAACGAAACATTCTGCCCACTACCCTCAAGCGACCACCAACCTACGCTCCATGACTCCTCAAAAAATACACGCGCATCACACCACCACCACGCCCCTACCGTTGTTAGATCTGGCATGTCACGCCCACGGCTGCGCTCTGCCCCTCCGCGAGTCTGCGGTAGCCTTCCGCCTTACCCTGACTGACGTGTCGTCATGTGGCGGATATCGCCCCTTACTGTATTGGCCGCGAATATTATCCGCCGGCTCTTTTGTCTGGAGTCACATCCACTCCGGAAGTATAGTCTTCGGCCGTACACACTTGCGGGAGAAGACTTTGCGGCCACGCTCAGGTCTCACGCACTGGCGCCTCGGGTAGTACTGTGCTTGATAGTCTACAGTATTCCCAGTTGAATGCTTTGTTTCAAAGGCAAACGACATCGTAAACTTCACGAAAACGTACTTCACGGAAACGTGAACTTCACGAAAACGGGAACATATTTTGGGACTTCCGCGCCGCCAGGTCTACTGTGCTTGAAAGTCTACACATGTCTTCTTACGTCCGACTTTCTGGAAAAATTGGTCTCACTCGAGCAACTTGGGGCAAAATGGGCTATGTGGTATCCGGGTTACCATCGCCTAACTGTATCGGGAGAACAGTGGTTGACTCGTTCCAGCAATCGCTAAACCCCAGTTCACAAAGCACAGTTGTCAGGGTCGTAACAGTGCGTTGCGCGTGGGCCTGTCGGGTGTGTGAGCGAATAGGATGGATGCGCGAGCTTCAGGGTGTGCATTCAGGACGGTGAATGCTTTGATTTCCCAACAACCACAACGTTCAGTGTTTGCGATTGTGGTCCCGCCGTGTGCAACCGTCCCACACAGGACGGTTCGGGTGGCTGAGGATGAAGCACAGCTGCGGTGCGGCGATTTCACACGCTACCCGACAAGGAGACTGGAGTGGGGGGATGTGTCGCACCGATCTCCCTTCCCGCCCTCTCTCCTACAGGGGGTGCAGGAGGTGGGGGGTGGGGGAGAGATGGGAGGGAAGGCGGGAGAGGGGATCCGCCGTCGATCCGAGTTTAGGAGGAACACGTCTCAAAATGGAGGGGGCCCCTACAAGATAACCTGAGACGGAGTATTGGACGGTCAGTGTCACATCGTACTCCTCTTCTGCGCATAGCACTCTGGCAGCAGTGCTGCCGCTGATGCTTCTAGCCCTTCTCGCCCCACCTGTTGACTGCGTACGCATCAGGCGCGAGGGGAATCATGGCTTCGCACGGCGTGGCTGTGACGCGGAGATCGGGTCTCGTGCTCGCTGCAATGGCTGCTCTCATGCTCTTAGGTATGCTCTAATGCTCTTGGATCTGCTATCTCATTCCAAAATGTTTCCGTCTCAAACCTGGCACCAAGGGTTCTCGACCCCAGCCTATTCTAAAGCTGAGAATACGGAACTTTTGGGTCTGAGCAGACAGCTTGAGGCGAGTAAGTAATGTAACTCATAAGTAACTTTACCAATATCCCCATACCTGACTCCGAGATTTAGAGGAGATGTGGGTTCGATACCTGATGCTGACAATTCGTGTCCGTGAATATTGAAGATTTTTTGTTAAGACTGCCAGCGCTGAGACGCGGGTTCGATACATGGCATCGGTCGTTTTCACCTGAAAATGCCATCTTTGAATTTCGTGTTTACCCTGTTAGAGCGATCGCATTACCATCCATTAGACTACACCGTATGTTTTTTTTATGGTGACTTGGCACTGTCTGTCACTGTCACCGTATATTAATTCTGTAGTATTGTTGAGACTGGCAGGTTTTCCCCTCTTCCCACTTTCCCCGTTTTGAACTCTTCCCCCCTTTTCCCTTTCTTCGTCCCCCTTCCTCCACTTTTGCACCACCGGTGCCCAGTACCGTTCGCTTGACAGAGTAACACCCGCTGATGCCATCCGCTTTCTCCCCTTCCCTTCACATCCCATTCTCCTTCCGTTCGCCCCTTCCCTCCCCTTCCCCCACCCCGCCCTTTCCCCACCCCCTCCCCCCCCCGCCCCCCCCCCCCCCCCCCCCTCCAATCGCGCTCAGCCTGTGCGCCCAGGGCTGCCGCCGGTCGCCAGCCAGCTGCAAGCAGCGGCCGTGCGCAGAGCCTGGAACAAACCATTGCACTTCTCCTTGGCCTCATCTCCTCGAAGAGTATGATGGATGCTCACCACCCTCGGCACTCCTCCGACTCACGATTCACTGCTCACGTCAGCGCTCCTATCGCCGCTCTTTTTATTCATACTCCATTCACTTTGGTCTTACTCCAGTCCAGTCTTGTCGTGGTACAACTTAGCTTGTCAGGCCGATCACTCCCACCTCTCTTTGCTCGCCACGTGTTCATGCTCCGTCTCACCTCGCTTTTGTATCCTCCATTTTCCTCTCCTCATCCCTTCCTCTCCTCTCTGTTCCTTCCCTATGGTCACGTAGATAAGCCTCCGGCAGACCCGTGTGTGGCGAAAAAGTGTGGCGCCAATGCGGTGTGCGTTAAGGAGAAAGGCAGTGCCAGATGCGTCTGCAACGTTGGATTCTCCATGACCCCCACCGGCTGTGTTGCTGCTGGTGAGTGCTGCGGTGGTGAGTGCTGCTGTGTTGGTGAGTGCTGCGGTGGTGAGTGCTGCTGTGTTGGTGAGTGCTGTGGTGGTAAGTGCAGCTCTGTTAGAGCTTCATGACTTCATATTGAGGTTTGTCACGTTGGCAGAGATTTCCTTCATCTGTTGTTTTCAATATCCGCTCACTCGCCCAACCCCCTCCCCTCTGCCCCTTTTCACCAGACCCATGCGTGCTCAAGGCGTGTGGCGTCAACGGCAAGTGCATCAAGGACAGTGCTGGAGTGGCGTCCTGCGTGTGTGACGCTGGCTTTGTGCTGCAGGCTGACAAGACTACATGCAGCGGTGCGTATGTGCTGTTGTGATGCTGTGCTTTCGTCCCCCCTGCTTTATTCCGACGCTTATCTGTCACTGTCACGAGTGCATGTGTTTCCTAACTTCTTTCGTACAGGGTGCTCTTCCTATTCACAACGCTTCCACTTCCCAGCTTTCACCCACATGCATGAATCAGCTCACTGCTTCGGTCCTTAACGCACATGTCACCTATTACGCAGCACTTGCGCTCCCCACTCACAAGTATGCCTCGTACCCTTCCTTGGCAGACACTTGTGTGCTCAAGAAGTGTGTTGGTAAATCCAAGTGCGTGAAGAGCGCTGCAGGAGTGGCGTCCTGTGTGTGTGACACTGGCTTCGCACTGCAACCTGATGGCGTCACTTGCACCAGTATGTGCCATGCCATGTGCCATGTCCTCTGGCATGTAGGCGATGCCTTGTGTCATGCCATGTGCCATGCCATGTTCCATGCCTTGTGCCATGACTTGTGCTATGGCATGGACCGTGTTATCAGTGTCATAGCGTGTCATGGCTTGTCAGTACTTTCCATATCGACCCATTCTCAGTGTCCCCTCACTCGCGCAACTCCCTCTCCTCTCCCCCCCTTTCTCCAGACACATGCGCGCTCAAGGCGTGTGGCAGCAACGGCAAGTGCACCAAGGACAGTGCTGGAGTGGCGTCCTGTATGTGTGACACTGGCTTCGCACTGCAGGCTGATGGCGTCACATGCACCGGTAGGTGCCACGGCTTAGAGATCCCATGTGCCATGCCATGGGATATGCCATGTGCCCTGTGCTATGTCATGTATTCCTTCTGATATGCCATGGACCATGCCGTCGTTAAGTGGCATGCTGATGCATTGTCAGGTGCCAGGAGCCCTGTCAGTCAGAGCAGAGCGTGTCGAGGCTTGTCCCTGCGCAGTAATTTCCCATATCGACCCATTCTCAGTGTCCCCTCACTCGCGCAACTCTCTCTCCTCTCCCCCCCTTTCCCCAGACGCATGCTCGCTCAAGGCGTGTGGCAGCAACAGCAAGTGCGTCAAGGACAGTGCTGGAGTGGCGTCCTGCGTGTGCAACACTGGCTTTGTGCTGCAGGCTGACAAGACTACATGTGCTGGTGTGTGCCGTGCCATGGCCATACGCCATGTTCCCTGCCATGTAGGCGATGCCTGCCTTGTGCCATGCAATGCATTGCAAGGTGCCATGCCTTGAACGGTACGATGCCATGCGCCATGCAGTGCAATGCAATGTGTGACGCCCTGTCGTTTACCATGTGCCATGCCTTGTTATATGCCATGTACCATGCTGTCATGTCAAGTGCCATACTGATGCATTGTCAGGTGCCCGTAGCCCTGTCAGAGCGTGTCGAGGCTTGTCAAGTGAGCAGTCCTTTCCCATATCTAGCAATCCTTTGTCTACCCTCATTTGCTCAAACCCCCCTCGCTCGCCCAACTCCCTCCCCTCTGTCCCCTCATCCCCAGACACATGCACACTCAAGGCGTGTGGCAGCAACGGCAAGTGCACCAAGGACAGTGCTGGAGCGGCGTCCTGCGTGTGTGACACTGGCTTTGTGCTGCAGGCGGATGGCAAGACGTGCACTGGTACGTGCTGAATCCATGCTGTGCTGAATCCACGCTGTGCTGAATCCACTCTGTGGCGAATCCATGCTGTGCTGAATCCGTTCTGCGCTGTAGTTCCATTCCACTACTCTCATTGTTCTCAAGGACCAACTTGAAGATATACTTTCTCGTTCGATCCGGTCCGCCCCCTTCTCTCAGATGTCTGTACCATCAAGAACTGCGAAGGCTCCGATGCCAATTCCTATTGCGACAAGGAAGGGAACCTTGTGACCTGCTTGTGCAAGAATGGATACGCCATGGCAGCGGGCATATGCACTGGTGCGTTCGTGGTTTGCGTTGTGACTCATTATGTGACTCTGTGTGTGTGTGTGTGTGTGTGTGTGTGTGTGTGTGTGTGTGTGTGTGTGTGTGTGTGTGACACTGGCTTCGCACTGCAGACTGATGGCATCACAGATGCACCGGTAAGTGCCACGCCACGCCTTGTGAGATGCCATGTGCCATGCCATGGGCTATGCCGTCTTGTGCTTCAACGTGGGCTATTGCAAGTGCCATGCTGATTCGCGCCAGCAGTTGATGACAAAGGCATACCAGTCTTGTGCTTCTGCTTATCAAGTGAGTGGTGCTGTGAGTTATGTAACTTTTCCCTCTCACCTCACTCTCCCCCCCACGCAACCACTCGCCCAGACACATGCGTTTCCAAAGGGTGTGGCGGCAACGGCACGTGCAGCAAGAATGTTGCTGGAGTGGCGTCCTGCGTGTGCAACGCTGGCTTCGTGCTGCAAGCTGACAAGATAACATGCACCGGTACGTGCCATGCCATGTGCCATGTACACGATGAATTGTCCACTGTCCTGTGCAACACGCCATGCCTGGTGCTACGAAATGTGCCACGCCTTGTCATATGACGTCATGTGCTATGGTTATGCCATGCCTTGTGAAATGCCATGTGCCATGCCATAAACCATGCCGTCAAGTGCCATGCCTCCGTGCCTACACTCCTTCCCACCCTCACTCCCTCCTCCCCCCTCCTGTTCTCATCGCTTTTGCTTTCGTGCCACTTACCTTTCAGATACGTGCGTCATCAAGAACTGTGGTGCCAATGCGAATTGTGTAAAGGACGCTCAAGGCGTTGCATCCTGTGTTTGCAAAACGGGCTTCCAGATGGTGAACGGCGCTTGCACTGGTACGCAGCATCTTTCCGATTAGCCATATCGTTTCTGTTTCTCTCCCACTAGACCTCTGTTTACAGTCAATCTCTCCCTCTCTCCCTTCTCCCACTTCCCTCCCTCTGTCCCTCCCTACTTTCCTCCCTCCTTCCCTCCCTCCATGCATACTCCTTCCCTCCCTCCGTCCGTACTCCTTGTGTGCACGTCTTCTCTCACACCCCGCTTCATTACTCTCTCCCTCGTCACGTCCCTTTCCACAATCCTCGCCCATTTCCTCCACTCCTCACTCCCCTCCCCCATCGCTCCTCCCACCCAGACACCTGCACGATCAAGAACTGTGGTGCGAACGGCCGGTGCATCAAGGACGCCACCACTGGAGCAGCGTCCTGTGTGTGTGACACTGGCTTTGTGCTGCAGGCGGATGGCAAGACGTGCACTGGTACGTGCTGAAACTGCTGTGTGCTACTGTCCTGTGGGCAGTCTTGTGTGGCAGTCTCTCCCATATCCATTGTCTACCCTCATCCTCTCAACCTCACCCTGTCCGCCCAACTCCCTCCCCTCAGTCTCCTCGTCGCCAGACACATGCGTGCTCAAGGCGTGTGGCAGCAACAGCACGTGCATCAAGGACAGTGCAGGGGTAGCGTCCTGCGTGTGCAACACTGGCTTGGTGCTGCAGGGTGACAAGGTTACATGCACCGGTATGGGCCATGCCATAGCCATGTCCACTGCCAAGTACGCGATGTCTTGTGTGCCATGTGTGTAGTGCTATGCAGTGTGCCATGCCTTGTTCAACGCAATGCGTGATGCAGTGCAATGCAATTAGCGACGCCTTGTGATATGCCATGTGCCCTGCTGTCAAGCGCCGAGCATTGTTAGGTGCCCGGAGTCGTGTCAGAGCGTGTCGAGGGAGGTTTCTCATGTGGGCAGTCCTTTCCCATATCCTTTGTCTACCCTCATTTGCCCAACCCCACCTCGCTCGCCCAACTCCCTCCCCTCTGTCTCCTCTTCCCCTCTGTCTCCTCTTCCCCTCTGTCTCCTCTTCCCCTCTGTCTCCTGTTCCCCTCTGTCTCCTCTTCCCCTCTGTCTCCTCTCCCCCTCTGTCTCCTCTTCCCCTCTGTCTCCTCTCCCCCTCTGTCTCCTCTTCCCCTCTGTCTCCTCTTCCCCTCTGTCTCCTCTTCCCCTCTGTCTCCTCTTCCCCTCTGTCTCCTCTTCCCCTCTGTCTCCTCTTCCCCTCTGTCTCCTCTTCCCCTCTGTCTCCTCTTCCCCTCTGTCTCCTCTTCCCCTCTGTCTCCTCTTCCCCTCTGTCTCCTCTTCCCCTCTGTCTCCTCTTCCCCTCTGTCTCCTCTTCCCCTCTGTCTCCTCTTCCCCTCTGTCTCCTCTTCCCCTCTGTCTCCTCTTCCCCTCTGTCTCCTCTTCCCCTCTGTCTCCTCTTCCCCTCTGTCTCCTCTTCCCCAGACACATGCGTGCTCAAGGCGTGTGGCGTCAACGGCAAGTGCATCAAGGACAGTGCTGGAGTGGCGTCCTGTGTGTGTGACACTGGCTTCGTGCTGCAGGCTGATGGCGTCACATGCACCGGTAGGTGCCACGCCTTTTGCCATGTGCCATGCACTCAGGTGTGCTGAATCCCCCATGTGTGCTGAATCCCGCATGCACCGGTAAACAAGGTAGAGTGCGTGACTGCATGAATTCTTGCAAGGGTGTGTCGTGCTGTAAAGTGCAACACAACCTGTGCAAGGGTGTGTGTGGGGAGTCTCACAAACTCTTTATTCGCACTACTTTTCCCTCCACCCCTCTCCCTTTCTGTTTGCCTCTCCCACCCAGACACCTGCAAGATCCAGGACTGTAGTGCAGACGGCCAGTGCATCAAGGACGCCACCACTGGAGCAGCGTCCTGTGTGTGTGACACTGGCTTTGTGCTGCAGGCAGATGGCAAGACGTGCAAAGGTATGTGAAAGTGAAAGAACTTATGTGTGCTACTTTATTCTATGTGGTTACATTCGCTACTCTGAGTGTTGCTGTGATTCCTCTTGAAATCATGTCCCCTCCACCCCTCTCCCATTCTCTCTGCATCTCCTTCCACCCAGACACCTGCAAGATCCAGGACTGTAGTGCAGACGGCCAGTGCATCAAGGACGCCACCACTGGAGCAGCGTCCTGTGTGTGTGACACTGGCTTTGTGCTGCAGGCAGATGGCAAGACGTGCAAAGGTATGTGAAAGTGAAAGAACTTATGTGTGCTACTTTATTCTATGTGGTTCCATTCGCTACTCTGAGTGTTGCTGTGATTCCTCTTGAAATCATGTCCCCTCCACCCCTCTCCCATTCTCTCTGCATCTCCTTCCACCCAGACACCTGCAAGATCCAGGACTGTAGTGCAGACGGCCAGTGCATCAAGGACGCCACCACTGGAGCAGCGTCCTGTGTGTGTGACACTGGCTTTGTGCTGCAGGCAGATGGCAAGACGTGCAAAGGTATGTGAAAGTGAAAGAACTTATGTGTGCTACTTTATTCTATGTGGTTCCATTCGCTACTCTGAGTGTTGCTGTGATTCCTCTTGAAATCATGTCCCCTCCACCCCTCTCCCATTCTCTCTGCATCTCCTTCCACCCAGACACCTGCAAGATCCAGGACTGTAGTGCAGACGGCCAGTGCATCAAGGACACCACCACTGGAGCAGCGTCCTGTGTGTGTGACACTGGCTTTGTGCTGCAGGCAGATGGCAAGACGTGCAAAGGTATGTGAAAGTACTGCTGTGGGCGACTTTTATTCTGTGTAGTTCCATTCGCTACTCTTAGTGCTGCTGTGATTCCTCGTAATTTCGTGTCCCCTCCACCCCATTCCCTTTCTCTCTGCCTCTCCTCCCACCCAGACACCTGCAAGATCAAGGACTGTAGTGCGAACGGCCAGTGCATCAAGGATGCCACTACTGGAGCAGCGTCCTGTGTGTGTGACAATGGCTTTACGCTGCAGACAGATGGCAAGACGTGCGATGGTATATGACAGAAAGAACTGCTGTGTGCTGCTCTATGTGGTTCTGTTCGCTACTCTGTGCTGCTGCTTTGCTCCTGTCTTAAATTCATGTCTCCTCTCCAACCTCCATCGCATGGTGGGTGATGCTAGCTTCAAGTGCTGCTGTGCTGCCTCCAGTGCCAATGGCTTCACCACTCATGTGTTCCCAACATCTCGTTTAAAGTATCTTGTTGTTTCAATCTTGAACCCCACCACCCCTCATTTCTCGTCCTCTCCACCCCTCTCCCCTGTCCGTCGCCTCTACCCCCACCCAGCGCCATGCAATCCGCTGTGTGGTGTGAACATGCACTGTGACACCACTACTGCAGTGGCGACTTGTGTTTGTGACAAGGGTTATGAGGATGACTGGCAGAATCCTGGAACCTGCGTTGGTAGGTGCTGATTGCTGTGCATGTGTGTTCCTTGGCTGCTGTGTGTTTCTTTTCATAGCCCTTGTGTTCTAGTCAGTGCAGCTGTGATCTAGCGTGTAAGATGTGTGCAGTTGTGCTGCCTCTATCGTGTGATGGTAGCTCCTGCTGTCGCAGAGTTCCCACACCTCCTTGTGCATCCCTCTTTTATGATATCGTTTCTTGTTCAGTCTCCCACTTGCCCCTCTTGAATCTCAGTTTTTGTTCAATCCTATCTCCGTTTGGTGTCTTACAGCTGTCCTACTCAGCTGTTACACGACATGTTTCTTTCTACATCCACCCACCTGTGGTCCCACTACTCGTGTGTCTGTGTGTTAACTCCCAATCGAGTCCTGGTCCCACTATTCGTCTTCTCTCACCCCAACTCCTTCCCAGATCGGTGCTATTACTATGGTTGTGCTCCGGGACAGACTTGCGAGTTGAATTTCTACAATGGGGATCCATATTGTAGCGGCGTACCCGACCCCGATTTTTTTGGGTAAGTTCCACCCCTCCTTCAAGTTCCACGCGTGTGAGGTTTGCTTGTTGAGGAATCAATGCTGAATTGACCCATCGTACTGCTGCCATCTCTTGTATTCTGATTCCATTCCATGGACCTCCCACTTCATCTCTTGCCTCTCCGTCTAATTATTTGTTTTTCCCCTCAACAGGTAAGGTGCCCTCAGTAGCTGTGACAAAACATCTGATCGCTCCCGTGACCGCACATTCCCATCATGCCTGTGAAAGCACCCATCAGCAACTCCCGCCATGCCATCAGCCACTCCCGTCATCCCATCAGCCACTATTCCAGCTGTTGATTCTTCCAACTGTTTCTTCTCGCGCAATACAAGGAACACGCTCTAATTGGTTGTAGGGCACATGTTTGGTCCATGGCTAGGGTGATATTTTTAATGCCCTTTCTCGAAAAGGGGAAATTCTGTTTTTTTTTTTTTTTTTAATCACCCTGGTCACGCCAGGGTAACACCTTGTTGCACTGTTTGATAACAACTTGGTTGTTTCACTATGTAAAGATACAACGTAAACAACGAACATGCTTGCATGAACTACCTGTTGGGCTGAGAAAGCCCTTAGGATCTTTGCAGGACTAAACTCTGAGTAGGACAATGTAATAGCGGAAGCATTTAATGAAAGGTTTGTGAACCACCTTGCGCTGGTATGTGAGGGCAAAGTAGATAAATCAAAACAAAGAGATACAAGCTTTTATAGGAGTACGAGGGAATATGAAGGGTTATAACTAATAACTGTTTTGCGGTTGCTGTTGCGGTTCGATACAGTGACGACTCGGGCAACTGCTCAATAACGAGTCAGTTGTTTGTCCTTGCTGTCGCGCTGTACTTGTCAGGTCAAAGGGCGCTGACCTTCGACTTTCGCGTAACCTCCAGCAGTTGTTCAACCTCCGAGGGTTGACTCGCTGATGCTTCGCTGTGTTTCGCTTCGCTTATAACTTGGTGCTTCGACACGACAGAGGCGCTTAAGTTAACTTGTTTCCAACACTCACCTTCGCTTCTGGAGTGTCGCTGCTAATGACGTGGCTCTGTCGACTCAGCAGCATGCAATACTCAAACTTCTGCTGCCATCTCAGAAGTGGGGCAGTAAGACAGCTCGAGTCTCCCCTTCTCGATCTCGTCCTTCACGAAGAAATATCGCAGGGCGATATGCTTCGTCCTGTTCGCGAATCCATTTTTGTTGGCTATGCGAATTGCCGACTGGTTGTCGCATAACAAGGAGAAGCTGGGTAACTGAGCCAGCTTCGCTTCCTCCAGGAGTTCGCGAAGGTACAGTCCTTCCTTGGTGGCTGAGCAAAGTGCGATATATTCTGCTTCACCTGAAGAGAAGGCGATTAACTTCTGCTTGCTCGACTGCCACGAGATGGGTTCGAAAGGTTCGAGGCGATAGATGTAGCCGGTTCGCGAGCGTCTGTTGTCGGAGTCGCCAGCGTGATCGGCGTCGACGTAGCCGATTAACTTAGGTGTCGAGGTTCCGTTCTTGTGACAGGTCAGGCCGATCGTCGGAGTGCTAACAAGGTAGTGAAGAGCGCGGTCGAGCTCCGCCATATGTTCTGTCTCGGCGAGTTGACTCGCAGAGTACGATAGATCCGGACGGCAGGTGACGGCCGCAAAGAGGAGGCACCCCAGCTTTCTCTGGTAGTCGCGTATGCCCGCGGGCTTGAGCAGAGTGGAACTTTCCTTGTGATTTCCTGCGGTGTAGCGGTATGGCGTGGAGATGGTGATCGGGGTGAGTCCGAAGCATTTGGCGATAGTGTCGGCATATTTCGCGCAGTTGAGATAGATCGCGCCTTCCTCTTCCTCAATGTTAAGGCCGAGGTATTGCGTGACAGTTGATGACACTGTAAGAGTGAGGTCCTGCTACAGTTCCCCTTCGAACCAAGTAGTGATGCCGTCGATCGAGCCGATGTAAAGCAGGTCGTCCACGTAGATGATTAATAAGACGTAGTCGTCGCCTTTCGTGAGCCGATACATGCCCTGGTCGTGTGGTAGCTGTCGGAATCCGATGCGAGTGAGTCGAGCGTGTAGATACTGCTGCTACAGTCTTGGAGCCTGTTTGATCCGTACAGGGACTTTAATAGCTGACACACTTGGTTGGGCTCTCCGTTGGAGTTGTGTGGAAGTTCGACGAAGATTTCGGTGTCAACAGGTGCGTAGAGAAATGCGTTGGCGACGTCAATTTGCCGCAGTTTCTTCTTCTTCAAGTATCTGGAGACCACTCCGTGTGTAGTGGGGGAGTGTTGTGTCCTCGGGATAAGCTATTTCTTACCTGCTTCTGGGTCAGGTATGAAGTTGGGCCCTATGCGTTCTGCTTCTTTGGTGTTGACTCTTGCAGATATAACGTAACCTTTGTCGGCGTTGGCGCTTTCGCGAGGATTTTCGTCATCCATTGGGACGTCGACGGAGTAGTAAGGGATGTCAAACTTATATGCTATAGTCTGTGTAGGCTGTAGTTGTGAGGATCTAGGATCGAGCTCAGAAAAGAGAATTGTAATTGAATGATCACCTGGGTACAACATGAGGCTATATATAGGCTCGACACAAGGCAGGTAACCCAGGTGTTACGCGAATGTTCTGAGGGTCGCGAAGCGTCCCGAACAGAACCTTCCCGAACTCGATAGAAAGTAATTCGGTGGCGACCGGATAGCTTGAGTTCGGTGCACGTAACCTGGTTCGGTGCCTATAACTATAATAACTATAGCAACGAACCTAGGAAATCAAGCAATTCATGCATGCAGAAAATAATCGTAAGCTAGGAATAGCGTAAGGAAATAATAGCAAGCATGAATAACAAGCATAAGCCGACGTACTCTCACACGTCCCCCCCTCAAAGCTGGGTGGCGTGAGATACACCCTGCTTGACAAGATAATCCTTGAGAGCACGGCGTGCGTTGCCCATATCAGCTTCTACAACCCAACTGTCCTCAGTGGGGTCATAACCCTTCCAGCGTATCAGGAACTCGAGGGTCTTGCCGCCGCGGCGTCGATGAGAAAGAACGCGCTCCACTTCATATTCAGGTTCATCCTGGATGAGAACAGGAGGAGGTGGCGGAAGCTGCCGTCCCTGGAACTGTTGGTTGGGGTCCTTGTAGGGCTTCAGTAGCTGGACATGGAAAGCGTTGTGAAGCTTGTGAGAATAAGCGAACAGGGAATGAACGAACTAGCAGTGAAATGAGTACAAGTAGGAAACCCTAGAATTGTGTACCCCCTATAGGCTAACCCACTGTAGCCTACACAAGCATAACATATATAATGTTTGACACACCCCCATAGGCAAAGTGGGGGAGAACAAGGGGTCACAAGACCAGTCAAGCAAAGCAAAGCAAGCTCAGGGTGGATCACAAAGTCACCACACAGTCCGAGCACAAGAGCAGGGCCAGAGGCCAGTTCACATGCAGGAGTACAGACATATATATAAAACTAGACAAGTAAGAGCAGGTATATATATATATGTCACAGTACAAGTGAAGTCAAGAGGAGAGCAAGTGAGGCAAGACAGGCAAAAGACCCAGCTGGGTGCAAAAGCACTGATGGTCACAAGGCGCGAGTGCCTTGGTGAACACATCAGCAGTGTTGGCCTCAGAGGCCACGTACGCAAGTCGCAACTGACCACGCTGCTGCAGCTCACGAGCAAGGAAGTAGCGGAGAGCAATGTGCTTCGTTCTGTGCTCCAAGCGCTGCTCTCGACACAAGGCCAGCATGGCCTTGTTGTCTACGTACAGCACTGGAGGAGAACGAGGCGGCTCTCCAAGGTCAGTCAGCAGGTAGGTGAGCCAGCGAAGCTCCTGTGCAGCCATGGCCCCGGCGTAGATCTCAGCCTCACAACTGGAGCCGAGAACTGAAGACGAGCGAGTAGACCGCCACGAGACAGAGCCGGAACCAAGGCTAAAGGTGTAACCCTGTGACGACCGCTGCGTAGCCTGGTCGTCAGCCCAAGAAGCGTCCGCGTGGCCGGTAAGGACCACTGGACTCCGCCCTCCAAGCACAAGCCCCATGCCCGACGTACTGCACAGGTAGCGCAATCCCCTCTTCGCTGCAGCCATGTGCTCTGGTCTGT